GAGCAATGGCATGAATATGTATGCCCTCATCATCTGGTGGCCGTGTAATTGGCTGTCGTACGTCGCTAAATTTTGGCATTGTAGATTACCGTGAAAAGAATTGCATTAGACTCACATAATGTCCATCGAGCAACTTCCGAATTTTATTTTTCCCGAATGTTTCAATCTGGCAGCTTTTGGATTCTTAAGCGGGAACGATGAGCCAACTTGGAGTCGAGACACGCAACCAGTATAGTCTGAGTAGAAATGTTGAAGATCTTTTCGTTGCAGTTGGAGTAGGCTTACTTTTGTCCAAAAATGTCCAAACGTTGAAATTTTGGAAGAACGTCCAGTTTCCTTCAAAATGTATTGATGGCTCGCCGTCGACCTTGAATGTGACGATAAATTAAAAAACTTCAAAAATCAAAATCAGCTACCAAAGGATTGCTTGAAAATGATGATTCACTTAGACAAAAAAATTCTGCGACTTGGGAAAGGTAAAAAGTTACTTCTAGAGCAATTTCCCTAAATCTGGATAGAAATAGCTGACGTGAAAGAAATCAAAGGAAAGAAATAACTTTTCAATCCAAATCTCCTTTGAGGTGACGGATTTGAAAAGAGGTTTTTTATCGAGAAATTCCGGGATCTTTTTTCACTTTCATGTACATCTCTCTTGGGCTTTTCATAATTATTTCCCTTTATTTTTCTCACAACAGCGCTGTCACATTCATTATCATTTTCTCTAGGACCACTGAAACCATGACATTCACTAGTTACTCCTTTCCCATGAGCATAATCTGGAATTGATTATTTATGGAAGCATGTCGAACACTTCCATAAGTATTGGCACTCGTTTATTTTTGTTGAATTTACCTCCGTGACAAACCTCAAACGCATGATATTCAAATAACAAACTTACCGTAAGATTGAAACTAGTTTCTGAAGCGCAAAATGCTATATCATGTAGGATATTATCGCTTAGATTCCACCGCTTTTCGACATTCTTGTGGTTGAAGAAGAAACCATCGTACACTGATAGGGTGAGGTAACCTAAAGAAAAAGACATATAGTCGATATCATTCAGGGTAAAAGACGATTGTTTCCTTACCTAGCGCATTTACAGACAGGTTGAAAGTTGAGTCAGCAAAAAGTGCTTTCGATTTCAGGATCGAAACATTGCTGGACAATGTTTGAATAGCTATTCGATGAC